TCTGCGAAAGATCGATCTGTCGAACGATACAAAGCTAGACTCAAAGTTCGAATCTCAGGATAACAAAGCGATGAAAGTCGATCAGATATCGGGTAAGTTTGGAACAAAGACAGCAGCAGTGTGCAGTCTCTTAAATAAGGAGACTATCGAGGCGACGAACGAGGACTCTGGTTTCGAGAGCCAGACGCAACTATCCGATTATCCAATCACGCAAGCGGTGACGGAGTGGCTACGCAAAGAGAAGTCGCCGGATTTGTTCATTGCGTCGGCCATTTCGATGGACTGCGAGGAGGACGAGGACGATATGGACCAAGAGCCGCCAAAAAACTTGCAAGGCAACCCCATACTTGCACTATCTGCTAGTAGCGGTGCGGACAATACGGCATTGTCGCGCACAGCTATCTGCGGGGAATTCGCAGGGCTCGGTAACATCAAGAGTGGACAAGAGCAACAGCAGCCGGATGGTAGCAACAACAACAGCGGTGCTTCGAGAAGGAAGAAGGACGCGAAGAGGAGGTCGGAGGAACGGAGACGAGTGGCTAGGCACGTGGTGATTGGCAAAGTGGACCACGAGATGGTGTCCTCGTCGGATTCTTGCGGCCAGCAGGAGAACTTAGCGAACATCACGAGGAGGAAGAATCTGGCTAAACAACAGCAACAGGATGTTGTCGATGATATTTGCGAATTTACTGAGAAGGATAGCGTTGCGGGTGTGAGGGTTGCTTCAAGTTCTCGGATAGACTCGAAGAGAGTCAATGCAAGGCGAACGAAAAGACAAGGGAAATCGCACGCGCGGAATCCCTCCAATAATATCGATACGAAGATTCGACGTACAGAGGATGTGGATGACGAGGACGACGATGGGATTGTCGAGGACACGATGAACGTGAGGACCTTTGAAAAAGGAGAGATCATAGTCTCGGAAGATGGTAAGCTGTTAACGTCTTCCACGTACGAACCGAGCCTACGACGATGTCACGATGCTGCCACGACGATCAAAGCCCCGGACAAGAGTGAAACGGCTAAACAAACAACGGAGAGAAAGATGGAGGAAGAGCGAAAGAGGAGCAGTAGCATCGAGGACGAAAAGAGTGGTAGCGGAATAGATTCCTTGGACAGCATAGAAGAGCCTGACGTGTTAGAATGCTGGGAAACTGAGATCATCGAGCCTCTGGTAACTCCCAAGAGAATGTTACAAAGCGAGGGAATAGTATGCGAAGGAGAAGCTGCGGAGGACGATACCATCGAGGTTGAACAGGTTAACGTGGACTACGTGCAGAAATATTATCGATTGGCACGCGAGAGCGCTACCAGCATAGAGGAGATCAGTTTGAAAGCAGATCCGCCAACTTCGTCGAAATCAGTGCCAAATATGTCTGAGCGGAAGGAAGAGATTCCAGCGCGGAAGGAGCCCGTTAAAGACAAAGGCGACATGCCAATCGACGAAGCTTTTGAAGTATATGAAAGCTGTTACACCGGCAACTCACCGTTTCTAGCAATGGATTCGAAAGTTTTTAAATTACGAACGTTATACGGTCAGGAAGGCGAGACTCCAATACCATGCAAGACGGTCTGTTGCCAGATTCAATAATTTTTACTGACAGCCTCGTTTACAAACATATAAACCTCCACAGGGACATTTTTTAAGTACCGATGTCAAGGCCGTCCTCTTCTAAGTATCGTAAGCCTCTGACATTGTACTCTTCGCTGATTTATATACATATATCGCGTGCACGTTTTCACGGAGAACGTGTGTATCCATCGTACTGTCGTTATATTTTTCATTAATATTAATATTATTATTATTATTATTATTACTATTATTATTATTAATACGCGCTCGATAGTTACGTCGAGGGAACTATCGAAAGATAAGAGATACGAAAGGAAATTAACCCTGTGGATCGACATCGAGTGCGCAAGTTTGTTGAAAGTTAGAGGCATGCTCAAAGGCAGCGGATAATGATATAATGAAAAGCCTACTACGTATCGCTATTCGTTTTTGTAAATAGCTTTTAAGAGGTCGCTCTCGCAAATCGTGTTTCATGGATGATTTTCGTTGAGATGTTATATGCATGAGAGAGCGTATATTACTTATACATATGATATTGTTGACATTATCGTCAATACGTAAATCGGTGCACATATTCTTCTTTTCCTTTCTTTCTCATGTTCGTTCTCTTCTTCGTTTCTCATCTTCTTTTCTTCTGTTCTTTCAATTTTACCAAATCAAGAGGTTCGTTATACAATATGGTATATCGTTTAAAAGAAATCGAGCTTATTAAGATTCAAAGAGTATAATAGCTGCTTCGGAACGAATCGTCAGGTCTGAACTCTACGAAATAAAGAAAACAAACATACGGCAACAACAGAAATATGATCAAAACATACTACGTTACATCGTCGTTTCTGTTCTCGGTTTAATACTTTATACATATTACGCACTCGCGCACATACACGTACACACACGAAGTATATTACATCAAAATGACTAAGGCATATTTTTACAAAACTAATTCCGTAAAGTTTAAAACGTAGGTTTTAATGGACGAAAACTTAAAAAAAAGAAAAAGAAGCGCACTAGTATATCGTTCCACGCACCACGTAGCCTTAAATAGCCTTTCGCATAGAAAAGTTACAGCTGCTTCTAAAAACCATGATGTGCACCGATCATTTCAAAAGATTCCTAAGTAAGCAAAAGTCGTACTACCCTTTGGGGAATGTCGAGAACGATTCAGTAATCGAGCTACGCTTTACGTAAATATTACGACAGTCATACAGAATACAGTAATAACGAGCTAGGCAAAGGATATAGTTGTTCGAGAGGAAATGGATTGGTAAAAGAAGGAAACTATTTAACTGTACCGTAGCTGTTACGAGGTAATGTAAGATGTATATAGGTAAACTTAACGAGAAGAATTATTAAACTCTATTGGTTTTCATTGAACGGGTAAAAGAAATATAAGGTGGAGCATGTTGTTTCGTAATAGATATTTTGAATTTGAAATAGAACAGATTTTACTCATACACATAAATGTACACAGTACAGAAATTGCACTTGTTACGACATAGTTCATGCTTTAGTTGAGTTGTGTCAAGTAGATCGAATACCTCAGTTTGCATATTATGTAAGTTGTTCGATAGACGTGGTTCGTGAAAAAATCATATATATATATATATATATACATATATATATACATACATAGGCATACATATATACACATACATACACACACACACACACACACACGCACACACACACCCCATATCATAAGATACCTGTATATACAAAACTACTCATCATCCAGTCATTATTAGTAACACCAAGTATGATAATAATAATATTAATTATTAATAATACTGATAATAATAATAATAAAACTATTATCACAACAGCAATATAGGCACAATAGTTCCTGCGAAGCTTTAGATTCCATAGGCATTATATACGTAAACACGATATCCAGGACGATTCATACACTGATAGAAATTCATTGACATCCAGTGGCACTTAAAGATAGATATATCGCTATATTAAATACGCGTTGCATCAATTGTGTGCCTTATTCCGCGGCTATCATTTTTGTAAGCATTTCACAGTATTCTCTTCGATGAGAGAGTAACGGCTATCGAGTGATTTATGTAACAGATGTAAAATTTTGTGAAATCGTAAAATGACGATGCGGAGCTGTTGTTAAGTTCCATAACAATTATGATGATGCTGATGATGATGATGATCGTTTTATCTAGGCATGCATACAAAACGGATATATTGATTTTTTCATACATCAACTAACATGTTCATCAAGTATTTACAACTGATGTGCATACATTCATAAGCATGAAAGCATTAACATTGCATCTTACACGAGACATGTTATCGCATACTTACATTTTAGGCGAATTAAAGCAAACGTGTAAGGAACAAATGTACTTGAATTTTGCTGTTTGTTTTCGCTTAAAAAATAATGAATAAAATGTTTCAATTAACTTCCGGCATTTTTGATTCACCACACGTGATCGTATGTTTAATGTAAGGAAAAATATATTTTTGTAAGACGATTACTGTAATTTAAATACAATGTATTCTTAAAGGACGAGATAGAATTTCATGGTATACATATACGTAGCTTATACATATACACAGCTTATTTCAACGAAGGCAGCTTATATCAGTACGTTAAAATATATTAAAAAACGAGATTTATATAAACTCGAGGTGTACTATATTTTTATATATGACAGTTATATAAATATGTATAAAAACGACTTTTACATCACGCAAACGCAATATTTAATTTCAAAAAATAATATCCAAATCCGCATGCGCGTAACGAACCAATCAACTAAAAGTCAATTGACAGTAGCGCCACCAAGTTGGTTCGATAGCTCGAACGCAAGATGGACATAAACGCGATACGATACGACGTGAAGCGAGATACGAGCGAGTGCTGCCACCATTCGCTCGCACGAGTAGGTCGCGCAGTTGGTCAAACAAAGATAACGCGATAGGAACCGCTAAAAAGAGCGAAGGAGGGAAAGAGCGAGACAGAGTAAAGTTGTCGTTAATCAAAGAGAGAGAGATACAACGGATTGTGCCGTGGCTATGAAACTGTCTTATATAGATGGACACGCGCAGGCTACACGACGAAATGTCGGGATTGTGTGCGTTCGCATAGAGTAAGTGTAGCGGTATCTCACTCTCTCGCACCGCGACGGGGTTCGGAGGTGGAGCGAGAGTGAAAGACGAAGAAGCGAGCGAGCGAGGGCGAGCGCGAGTCGGGCCAGCGAGCGTGGAACGGTGTAGAGCGAGCGAGCGAGCGTGTGGTGGTGGTGGTGACGACTGGTGCCGTGGACGGACGGTCGGTCGGCGGTCGGACCGTGGTGTGTGAAGAAGTGAAAAATTCGTAAGTGGTGTGCTGGGTTGGTGAGCTGGCTGGTTAGTGGTGATATATCGGGGTCGCGCCACGGACAGTGTCGGGGATTTTTGGTCGTCTTGGGGCCTGTTGCCGAGACGTCGAGGGACGACGCGTGGAACCGAAGAGAGAGAGACCGCGTTAAAGAGCAATGTCTGACCGGGAAAGTCTGGACGATCAACCGCAAAGTAAGGGTGAAGAAGGATCGTACGATCCTGAGTGCACGAGTGTTTAACATGTTCCGTATCGGTTACGATTTTCTAATAACGTGTTGCAAATGTGCGCGACCGTCGACATCTTTCCGTGCCTGTAGCACCGTGTGCTGCGCCTCCGGTTACCAGGACCGTCTCTTTTCCATGAGCAAACGCAACGACCTCCGGGTCGCGGTTGACCTGATCCGTTACTTCGCGCACGGTCTCCGAGCATCGCGGACTCGTTTACGTCCGATCGTTCCTTTCAGCCCTCGTGGCGTTCTGTCAACCGCCGAAAAGAATTGCTATTTTTCAACGATACCCAGGATTCAAGATGGCCGGTCGCGTATCGGCCGAGAGACAAACCCTGTCCTCTTTCCTCCTTCGGCTTACTCTCTCTTTCCCTCTGGCTCCCTCTTTACCTCGCGCCCCGTACCCTCACTATTTCTCTCTCTCTCCTTTTCGCTATGTTTCTCTCTTTCCGTCGTATGAACACACGTACGCCTATACGTTTATGCGTGTACACATATGCATACACATATTCCCTCTTCTCTCTCTCTCTCTCTCTCTCTCTCTCTGCTCCGTGCTTTTAATTTTTTCTCTCCTCTTTTTTCTCCTTTTCTGTTTCTTTCCTCCCTTCCTCTTTTTCTTCCACGTCCGCGGCCCTCACGAGTTGAACATTCGCAACTTCCGATATGCGAGCCTCTCGACAGCCAAAATGGTCAACTCCATTTTTTCTAAATTCCATAATTTTCTTACTTGGATGAGAACCAGTATCCAATTTCTCAAAAAACCCATAAACTGCTTTCATACATTTATTTTACTTATAATATAACACGAATAAAAAAAGTAAAGTCTGAGTGAATTTTCAAAAACAATGTTTGCGATATTATCGCATTTCTGTGCTTCTCGATTTATGGAGTTGATCGATGTAACTTCAAAGCGGCTCGTGCGTTGCTTTCCGTGTATCACGACGGTTGTTTCTCCCTGGTGTTTCGTTTGAAAGTCGCGCTCACGACGAACCGTCCTCTGTTGTGTCAATTGTGTGTGACAGGCACCCTGACCGCGCTCGGCCAGACAACCGGAATAGTCCCGGGTGAACACGCGTGATGTAACTCGCTGATCCCTCTATCTGGCACACACGTATGCGACACACGCAGCGTTACACCAGGAAAGCTAACCATCGCACACGCGCGCACGCACACACACATACACGTACACGCACATGGTGCGCGCGCGCGCGTTGACAGACGCGCACACGCAAAGCGAAGGAACCATGTCTAGCCACGATTCGCGTAAATTTCACACGTGCCATAAGCGCATCCCCACCCCAGAAGTAGCTGGCTCTTGGCCTCGAAACAGAACGGCCACGGTGTGTATCTATCTCGACTAGTGATGGGAGTAATTCGATTATAATCGAAAAATGCTCGACCGATGCATACCTCTATCATCGCTTGGTTGTCGATATTCCGGCGAGAATCGAAATTAAGCGTGTTGCATTCCACGTCTGAACAAACACTGATTACAAAATACAAATATTCCATAGGTGACACGGGGCGTCAATCAATATTTGGACATGTATCTCGACACAGGTGCTCTTATAAGTATACTTGTTGAAACGGAGCATATATACACGCGTAGTTTCGAAAAGGCAGTAAACTTGATCGATGTAACCGTCGTTGATACCGTGTAAAATTATATAATGGTTTTCATGGACGGCACGTGAGACGGTATGAATGTTTGTCAATAATTAAATAGTGTTACGGCAGTAATGCTTCCAGGTAACATTGACTGTCGTAACAATGATGCCATTCTAACCTTGATTTTAGCGTGTAGTGATAATAAATAGTAACATCCCTATATATATATATATATATATATATATTAAGAATATATATATTATATTATACGTATATTCTTAATATATATAAGAATATATATATATATATATTCTTTTTTTTTCTTTTGTAATATTAGTAAACAATATTATTTCCATTGTTAAATAGTATCATTCATGATGCGTATAGAAAATTGTGAATAACCCGGATTTTCATTAAATGTATCAACATGATTCATGGTTATATTTTTCATTTTGGTCTCCCAAATGTAAGATTTCAAAATGTCGCGAATACGGCGTCGACCTGCTTTCATATTCCATTTGTTTTATTAATGTAGCATGAAGTTTGGTTAGTTTAAGTTTGTTGTGATTTTGGTGCGTTCCGGTACTAATGCGTTATTACGTTTCGATGAGCTACATTCATGCGATTCAAGATAGACATTCAATGTGTAATTCGGATTATCTGTTAGAATTATAGAACGGGCTGCATCGAATAGGTTATTACGATGTAAACGCTATCTAGTGTACGTTCTGCAATTTGTAAAGCATATATTTTTGGTATCTATGGTTGATAATCAGAACATATTTTATTGAATTTATTTTATGCAAATGTTACTCTAGTAATAGTTTCGTTTATGGCTGTTATCAACGATGATAATTTTTATCTTTTAGGATATGGAAATCCAGGTAGCATGGATGCTGGGGGAGCTGACTTCGACCCTGGTGAGTAAACAAAAATATAAAAGTCAGAAATATACACAAAGACAGAAAAGATATTTCTTATTACAATCAAAGAATGTTAGACTTTTTTCTGAGTGATAATTTGTATTATTTTTACTACCTGCGAAACAGTCTCGTTAACATTTATGATTTATATTTACGATTATGTAATTCTAATACGAATCGAACAATATCCTTGAAAAATTATGTAACCAATTTCGCCAATATTTTAGTTAACAATATTGACCCCGAATTTATCGAGCGATACCAGAAGACTAGGGTCATAAATCTTAACGTAAATTTAAACATAAAGATAAACATTAATCTTCTCGACGGAACATGGCCATGTTTTATTTCTTGACTGAGAAATATCGTCTTGCCAAATATCTCCGACTTGCCAGAGATATTCGTTACATTTACAATTTGTCCGATACCATAAAAATCCCAAAATAATTGCGACAAGTTAGGAAACATATCACAGAGACTTTTTTTAGTCTTTTCCTGCACTATCTACACTCAAAATTGCAGATTTCTTTTTAGAATCTCCTTCGAACGATTCTCGTTTAGCACCTGTGCTTCCATGATTTTCCAACTCCTCGAAAATCGTCGGCATCGCATCGAAACCGCCTTCCGTGTCTATTTTCGGTGGACGATCGAGAGTCGCGTTGCATCGCGTCAATTTCGGACCGTTCGGAAACGGATTCATCGAAAAATGGAAGTCGAGGAGAAAGAGGAGTAGAGAAGTAGCAGCAGTAGCAGGCAGCAGGACGAGTAAGAGGAGTAGGGAACCGTACTAGCGCAGTCAGCTGGTCGTGACGTCACGCGATCATGTCGTGGAGCTGAGCCTGGTGGTGGGAGGTGCAACGCTGTCACGTGGTCGAGCGGTGAAGTCACGTGGCGCGCGTGGTTCGCGAACGCAGAAGCCGGTGCGAGGTGAACGCCGATTGGTCGCCACGATTTCACCATCATGATGTGCGCATTCCATCAGCATGACGGCGGGCTCCATGAATGACCGGCACGTCATTCGTGTACGATTTCGTGTTCGACGACGCGTTGTCGTTGTTCCTTGAATATCATTGCTCTGTTGTTCAGTTCCCTGCTAAACATCATGTTTCGCGTGGTCGTGCAACAATCTATGTGGTATTGAGTGCAAGGAATCGCGATGACGACGACAATCGGTCAGCCAAACGCGATGCGTCATCGCGAGATGACGGCATTGTTACGTTGATAGTTTTTTCACCCCGTTCTCGTTATGACACATTGCCTCGGCGATTTCTCTGCGCAACGCTTCTTTTTCTTTATTTCGTTCGTCCCTCTGGTTCCTGGTCGCGATGTCTATGAGTGGTTGTGAAAGTTTCGAACTGACTATGCACACGGTGTTTCTTCATTCGTCAAACCGTCTTCTCCGACCGCGATTGGAAATCCTGCTTTAATCTTTTAGCGGTAAAGCCGGCTTGAAGTCCGTTGTACCGTGAAGATAGCGCGAGTTCGCGATCGGTCGACCGACTACGAGTCACTCGTGCGATCAATCGAGTTGGCCGCGACACGCGTGAAATCTGTGACTGATTTTCTCGAACAAGCCTCGCGAGTGTTTTATTACATCGGTGAACGTGTAACAGTTTTTCAAAGTGGTCCGTACTGCTACTTTCAGACGAATGTTTATCGTGTATTTTTTGTTTCTATTGCGTAAAAAAGTGATTAATGTGGAAGTTTTGTGAGGTTTCAACTTCACCAATGCCCTTGATTTTAAAAGTACATTGAACTTGGTGCTTGTCGAGTGGTTTCATTAAAGTCCTTTGAAAGGATGTCACGTCAGTTTTGGGTGAAATTTACAAAGATGATTATACGAAGTATATTATACTTTTGCAGTATAATTTGTTGACGTAGCGGGAATAGGATATCTTGTACTTTCTTCACAAGTGTTTCAATAATTGGCACAATGGGAGAAATCCTAGAAATTTCGCAGGGCGATGCTCAACAAAATGCAGTGAATGGTTGGGGCGACACTATGGGCAAAATACAGTACTGGTGTCCTGAAGGTAGCTGTTACTCAATAATCTTGATAGTTTGAGATTCGTAGCATACCATTTGTCAGAATTACTAAATGATATTGACCGTCTATTGTTGCTAACATGACTTACAATTAGTGTAGCTTGTATAAGAACAAATCATTAATTTTTCAACGTTTCTGACATTTAATTAAATAGCACATTTACGGTTTTTAAAATCAGACCTGTAGATTATACTATTTTGATCGAATTTTAAAATTGGTTTGAGTATTGTAGATATTAGTTCAAATATGTCTTAGTAAGTAATTTAAAAATATTTTAAATATGTTTCTTCTTAACATCGAAGTTAAATATCTCTTATAATTTGTGCATCTTACAGTATATTCAACTCATTTCATCGTCATTCCATCCCTAGATAATATTATAAAACTTTACATTATTGAAAGCATGCATAATTTACTCAAATTTAAGGTTTCAAAACCCGTAGTAAACGCGATAAAAATCGCGAAACTTAATTCTCTAATTTAACCGTGGTGTCTACTCTGAAAACATCCCTAGGAATTTTGTACGCTTGTCTAGGTTAGGTTGCGTGACGCAATACCTGACACGAGACGACAAGCCTTGTTTTCTTAAACGTTGGCATTTTAGCTCCGACTAGAAGGAAAAAAGGTTCTAGGAGGTGGAACGCGAACGATGCGTCGCGTGTGTATACGCTACTGAAATATTTGCTCGATGATTCAGTAACCGTGCTAAATGTTAAGAAACCTGTGATTAAAAATAGCGGGCCCGGACGAAATAAAAAACTCGCGCCCTTCGCTCAATACTTGAAGTTGGTGAAGCTATTATTTGCATGCTTTAAAAAATGATACTTAGAATCTTAGGAAAAAAATGTAACAAAAAGAAAAAACAAAAAATATTTAATATTTTCTTTTTTTTTTTATTTTTTTAGAGATTAGAAAATTATGTGCAACTTGACGAATCTTGGTCTTTATCGGCCGCCGTGTCTCTCACGA